ACATCTATGTTACTTTTACAAAGTGACCTTATCCACCAGAGGGGCGTTTTTAAATCTGCGCTAGCTTACACAGGAAAGGCTAAATAAAACTGCAAATTCCTGCATTGTGTGGGATGTAGAAACTAACACAACTAATAAATAATGTAAGATTCAACACAGTACAGAACATAATTTAAATGGCTGCATTTTTTCTGTACAAGAGACTTGGGGTCAGAAGTGATTTCTACTATTCATTTAGGGTTTCTCTGAAGTGCAAATAAAATATTTGTCATAAAAAGAAAAGTAAGAGAATGTGGGATTAATTTTCTATCAGGTTTTTCTCTCAAACATTTCATCAGGATTCAGTAGAGAACTAGGCTTATGCTTCTCTTTATGAACACTTGCATTCACAGGGTATAGGTGTTTGCAGAAGAAAAATGGATCTTACTAACACTGAAAGTTTCTACATATGTAAAACAGGAACGAATGAATTTTGAACAGCTTCACAGAAGCTGATGTTTTAAAAGAAAGGAATGAAAAGGAGCAACAGAGAAAAATGCTGTTACTCCTAGGAAACAGATGAGAATTTTATTTGTGTATAAGCTCTTAAGGGAAGAAGGAAAGCTATTATTTCTTACCTTTTTTTTTTCTCCTCAACAATAAAGATTACATGAGGTTACGCTTCACTTAAAATAGGAAAGAAAGGCAATTTAGCACTGGTCATACAATGTAAGGTAATTCCCATGTGATTCTGCTCTATTTCTGAACTGTTGGAAAGGTGGCTGATCTCAAGCCCAGAAGCAAAGAAGGAAGAAAGTAGAAACTCAGAAGCTTATGGATGCTACATTGCAGTGAAATTCAAAATATACATCGGCATGTGGCAGTTTCAGTACAGCTGAATACCTGCGCCACATCTGCTGTTGGGAGGGGGCTGGCAGTGAGGTGGAGCAGTGATGCAGAGAGCCTGTGCAACCTATGGGTCTATTTAAAGTTTGCTTTTGATGAGTGACGGAGGCCAAGGGAGAAGGATTTCTGCTGACACAGCAGTTTGTGAAGCTTCTCTGCAGCATCAAATGTGGTTTCACCCTGAGGAAAAAATCCTACAATTTCTAACTATTTTTGTCACTAGTCACCAAAACAGTCTGTTCTTGGGTCCGTGATACTAGACTGGTGATGGTCTCATGGAGTGTGATTCAGGGAAAAGGAATCTTATGGAACAGAAGTAACAAATCCTATGACTTTATTCATTGTGTTATGGTGTTAGTGAAGAAATGGTCATGACAGCATCATCTCACATTCAGCCCCTGCCTGTCTGAATTATGGGGATGACATCTTTTTGTTTGATTTTTAATGTGTCCCTGGAACACAAAAGGAGCTCTCTTTCTTTTTCCTTGTCTCTAAGCGCATTGAAAAATAAACTCAAACGTGGCAGCCTTTCATGCCCTGTTTTGTATGAATCTCTTTTGTGTGAACCGAGAATTCCTTGGGTTTATGTTGGGGTTAGAAACTGAAGGAAATTTTTGTTACACATGAAGTTTGTATTTTTTGTGTAAAATTGATTTTTAAATGTGGGCATGTCCTATAGCATGGCTGTTCTCAGTTTTGACCACCTTTGGCTCATGTGGCATTATTGAAGGCTGTAAGGATCACAGCAAGGGAGAGGTTCTGCAGAAAGGAAGGTAAATAGAAGCGGAAAATATCTCACAGAGAAAACCATTCAAGTTAATAGCTATAGTTTGTCTGTGGAGCTCTGCACCACCTCTAGTAAAAGTAGACCTCATTTCAGAGCTCATTTGTTCTATTTAACACAGCCTGTTATGTTAGTGTAGTAAGAGTACGGTAATGGACTGAATTTTATTTCCTGAATGCACTTAACTTGACATGGATCAGGGTTGCAAGAGGCTAATAGTTATGTTTCAGAGCTGAGGCCAAATGCTGTCTAGTTCCTGTGTCTTCTCAGTGCTCTATCATGGGCTGTTCTGGAAATCCACAAAAAATAACCAGTTTCTGAGCCCAGGTGATAATACATGCACTCAGATACTGAGCATATCTCATGACCTCTCCTTGTTATCTAGCTGTTTGCCTGCTTTGCTGATGAGATACATCCATCCCAACCTCCTGAGTTTCTTGGACTACGAACCCCTCATTTTTTATTTCTAGGGCTGTGTTTCTACGGATTGGCTTCTGTGTGTGTAGCCAGACTGCTGGGAGCATAGTGCTTCATACCTTGTTTGTGCTTGTGCAGCCACTTGTCTGTCCTTGGACTGACCGTTGTCAGCGGCCAACGCACACCACTGCAGGTCTAGTGTTATACTGCATAATCAGTTTGAAACTTACCATCTTACAACTTTTTCTTATTTGAGCTGCTGCATGTTACGAATGCTTTAACTGCTGAGATTTTTTTTGTTATACATCTGCTGATGGCCTCTGAACTATTAGTCCCAAGCTAGAACTGCTGCTTGCACTGACTTTTCTGTTAATTGTGCCTATTATGGGACTGCTGTAAGACAAAGTTAGGATTTTTGTCCTTCTAAAGGTGAATACCACAAATAAGTAATGCAGAATAGTGTAATAGGCTTGTGGTACAGAAATAGTGTACTGTTTTTCTCATGATTGGAAATCCTGGCAGTGGCATTGAGCCAGAGTTTCTGTGTCAAAGCTGAAACCCTTCCTTTACTTTGCAGAACAATCTCTTCTGTATTGAATGCTGGCTTACTCCTGTTTGGTGTGCTGGGCTGTGGGCAGAGGTTTGTATCATCATTCTGCCATCTACCCTGAGGGGCTGCTGTTCACAGGCAGATAGGTTGGCTTCCTCTCTTTCCCCCTGCTGCTACTGTTTTCCCTTACGTATTTGTATTTTCTGCTCTGCATTTGGTGCCAGCCTTGCAGTGAATCTGGTATCAGCAGAGTACAGGAAGGATCTGTATTAGATTCAACTTTGCTTAATGGTGCAAGTCCCACTGGATTTTGAGCAGTGTTGGGCAGGTGAGGAAGAAAGATTTGATTTTAATGAGAGATGACTTGGCACCAGCATCATAACAGGTGCAATATGAGAACCCAGGAGTGAAAGAGTTAATTCATATTCTCCTCACAGAGATAGCTGTGAAAGAGCATATGCTGAATGTGCATTCCATTTTCATTTTTTTGTTCTTATTTACAGTGACAAATAATGTATTTCCCTTTAGCTTTGAGTGCTTCATAAACCTGGAGCTGATGATGAATATGCAGTTTTCACTCCAAAGGCACTGGAATCAGTGCAAGAAAGCAGAGCTTGGTGTGGTTCAGAGCACTCTGTGACCTCCACTGTGATTATTAATCAGTCAGGCTTTCAGGGGCACAACCACCATTCTAGAGGTAGCACTTGCTTGCTCCTCTCGCTTCTTCACTGATGAATGTGATATTTGAACCTCTGGGAGACACACTGGATTTGTGACTTCTGTCAAAAGATGCTGAGTTCTGTTTGCTCTGAATTCAGGTTTAAAAGGATTTGGTACACTCCTCAGTGGGTTCTTAATTTGAGTTGTAGTGTTTTGTTACACACAGCCTGGTCTGGAAACTTACTGGCGCTTAACAAGAACTCATCAATCTCCTGGAGAGCAAGATTGGCAGTTTTGGGGGAAGGGGCCTGGTTACAAGTCAGGAAATCATAAGTGGAGTTGTGGGGTGTGGGAGGGGGTTGCCTTATCAGCATGTGGTGTTCTGTTAGAAAGCAATTTGCTTGGAGGAAAGGAATTGCTTTGAAGGAATGGAAAGAGACTTGGGACTTTGAACATGCTACTGATTAATTCTGTATTAGAACAATCAGCCTTTTGCAGAATTGTGGTTGCCCAAGATAGTGTTGAAGAAAGCAAAAGAGATGCTCTTAAATTTCTTTGGTCTTCTTATGAACATAATAGGAAATAAATGTGCAACAATACTGAAGCAATGCCATTTTTTTCTGCTCAGAAGGGCACTCTAGATCCAGGCATTACAAAACAGCAGTAATTTTGTTCAAGTGATCAAATTTGCAGATTTTCTAGTATAAGTGATTTGAAATAGGACTCATCATCCTATTGACCTGTCATCAGAAACATGACCGTCATGCAGAACTGTTTCTTAGCCAGCTCCCTAGGGCTTTTCTACAGAGAATGAAAAGTGAGAGAAGGTTTCATTATTATACCTCTTGCCACTCTCTGCACAACTGTAATCCTTAAGCACTGCAGCCTATGTTCCTGAACTTGTCTTTTTGGCAGGTGGAGGGGTATTTTGTCTTTGGAGGACAAAGTTATTGAGAAACCGAGTTATTACTGAGAAATAAGTCATGGGTTACCTTGTGCTTGAACCACCATGGTGGCTTGCTGTCACAGTGAAAACATCACTGAGCGAGATGAGGGTAGCTGTGTGCAATTTCCATTGGTGCACTAAATCAAATCTTTTCATTACCCAAAGATAGACAGGAGAGAGACTAGTGAATCTGCCCTGTGCGAATCCACGTTTCCAAACCACTCATGTCTTCCTGACAGGATTTCTCCACAGGAGGGTTGGTATGCGTGCTGGAGATGTATTCAAATCTTTTATCTCTTTATGACTTGTGAGCAGAATCCAAGAAGAGTTGCAATCCCAATAGCTAAAAACTCCACTATATGGTCAAATAGGACCACGTTGACCATGACTGGCCCCAGACATGCTAGCAGAACTGCTCTGTTCATCAACCTGCAGCATAACTGCATTGATTCATCCTTGCCAGCTTTGGAGTCTTCAGTGGTTATGAATACTGCTTGTGCCTTGAGAGAAACATGATGAGTGGACATGTTGAATTCTCCTGGTGCTGACCAGGGTGGAGGAATGCTGGCGGACCAGGGAGGGAGGTTTACTGATGCTCTATGTGATGTATCTCATTTACAGCTAAGCAGAATTTAAGACTTAAGAGTTGTCAGCCAGACACTTATAAAAAACTTCTTGAATTCTCCTTAAATTAAGATAAAAAAATATTTTTAAAGTCTTAAAATAAATACTTATTTTCATGTATTTTTGTTTTCAGGATGAATAAGAGATACTTACAGAAAGCAACAAAAGGAAAACTGCTAATAATAATATTTGTTGTAACGCTGTGGGGGAAGTTAGCGTCTGGGGCAAATCATCATAAAGGTAAGAAATTTTGGTTTGTTCCATTATACTGTTGTAGCTGTGGCCTCTGTCAACAAACTCAGAAAAGTCCAGTCTACGCGACCTTTTTTCCTTATGTGTATTTGTGTCTCCTGATACTGATCCACTAATCAGTCCCAAAGGAGGAGAGTTTTGAATGGATAGACTTTTATTAATTTCTTGAGAATTTAAGTGTTTCAGTCCCATTTTCAGCATTCTCTGATTTTAGGTCATTTTGTAATGATAGTACAATTGAAAAGATGGTAAAAAAAAAGATGCTAAAGAAAAAAAAACCAAATAATGAGTACTGCTTGTCTCATAAAAACAGTTATATCAGATAGCATGTATGTGTGCTACAAATTAATTCCTGGAATGAACCTTAGAAAGAAACAATTTTTAGTAACATGTGTGCTCCTACTGTGTGCAGTTATCTGTCAAGGCTGACTTCATGGATATTGTGTGCTGAATGTGATTTTTTCATCACCAAAAAAAAAAAAAGACCATTGCTTAGCAGTGTTGTCTGTCTTTGGTACTTCATTCCTAACACCAGACCAGGAACTTCAGTAGCTTGTGACAATGTGATATTTGTTTCCTCTTGGTCATTCCAGCCCTTAAAACGTAAACACACTAGCAGACGCTGTGATGGTTTACTGAAGCTTGTTAAAAGGTTTCTTTTGTGTGTGTGTGTGTGTTTCTGTAAAACCCTAATGCAAGGAACAAACTCTCCAGATTCATGTACCAATCTCTTCTTATAGGCTAATATAACTTGAAATGTGATCTGCAATATAATACAATTTTGAAGTCCACTTCTTGCCTTCATATAGTGTCTGTTGTCTGTTTATCTGTTTATTCGAGATCAGAATAAACAACTTGGGTAAAGTAAGGGTGGGACATCAGCATTACCAAGAGCTAAGGAGTAAATACTGGGGAAGGATTCCAGTAAGACCAGTCAGTTCTTCTCTCATGTACATTTTATTATATTCCCTCTGATGACAGGATTTCATGAGCAGGTATTTTATATATCTAACTGCTAGATAGTTTTCTGCTGTGTGAAGATACCTTACTGATTAAGGACTTCGGGATGCGGAGGCACTTTCTGCGAAGTCTTTTGTGAATTGCAATTTGGTGCAGACAAAAGATTCTGATGTGGTCCTGCGGGCCACCAAAGATGGGCATCGTGACAGACAGGAACTGTGCTGACACCCTTTGCTCAGCCTTTGTTCCCACTCTGAACTAGAATATGGGTTGGTGCTGTGGCTTGCCAGTTTAATCAGCTATTGGAAAAGAGCCAAGATATCGTAGCCTGGATTCATAATTCTTTTGTCTTTGATTATCTTTCTTTAAAAATATAAAAATCCATCTCCAGATCATTTTGTTTACATCTACAAAAGCTGGTCAAGCCGTGTTTGCCTTCATCCAGTTCAAACTTTGCCAGAGTATGCTTGCTACTGTTTTTGAAAAAATGATGAGTAAAACCTTTCACCAAGTATTTAATGGAAACAATTTATAATCCTAAGGACTGTGTGGGGAATTAGGGCTTCATAATTGAGAACCAAATGATACCCCACCAGTTTTAGCTTTCCAGATATATTCATGCAAGGGAGATGCCAGCAGAGCTATACCATTAATTATCTGGACAGTACTTCTCATTTGAGAACAGAAATAACTTGAGAAATATTGAATTTGATGTTTTTAGATAAAAACAATATGCACATGAGCCCGCTGCAAAATCAGGTTATTAGCTGTAGGGACTTCTTTACATTCCTGCAAGTTAACAAAAAGCTTTGATTCTTTTTCTTTAAGTTGTAACTTTTCACCCCTTTAGCAAAATACATGGAGTCTTGCAGGGAACAATAATAAGAAGAAGGATGACTTGGTTGTTTAATTTAGAAAAGGAACTATTGTATATGTTCAGATTCTTTTGGAAAAAAAATATTTGGAAGGATTTTGGCTTGTGGATTTAGTAAATCTGCAGATCAGCTGCACTCACTGTATATGGGAGATTATTTTTAAAAGCACAAATCAGAGTTACACAGCTCAGCTACTATTGATTTCCAAAGAAACTGGGAGTTTGACTTCCCATTGTGTTAAAGAAAATCTTCCCCTTACTCTAATAGCAGAAATGGAGCTAAGGTGCAGTCATGGAAAACATGACACTGTTCACCTTTGCATGAGTTTCCAAATACTGAGAAATATGTGAGTTTCTTCAGCAATAATTACCCCTAGCACCGTTAATCTTCATTTATGGAAGTCCTTACACATTGACATGACAAACCCTAATGACTTTGAAGAGCCTTTACAATTTCAAAGATCGATAATCTCCATTTTAAAAAATCTTTACTTTCCTGTTGACTTAGTCATATTATGCATCAGTTGCACCAACTCTTAAACCCATCTCCTTTTCTGAAGGCTATTGTAAAAGAAAAGAAAAGGAAAAAGCAGGAGAGATCATCAATGTGTGAAAAATTGTTTAATGAGCCTTCTGCTCTCCAGACAGACTTCATCAAGGATATAAACAACTGACCCTGAGAGGCCATCTCTAGGCTTGTTGTGCTTATTTCAGGGATATGCCACAAATGAGAACCCGTCAGCAGCAAGAAAAGCAGAGGCAGAGGCAGGGCAAGGGGAACCAGGTTCTGAGGTCCAGTTGAGCAACCACCAGGGTTGCAAACTGGTACAGCTTTTCAGTTTCAGGTGTGTGGGCACCAAGTCCATCCTTTTACTTGAGAAGACTGATTTGAAGATACGTCTGCTTCCTTTATCTTGGCTGATTGTTACAGTTTCATCAGTCTGGACAAAAAATCCAAGAGCTAAAATAGATAAGCACTCGCAGAGTTTAAACCAAAACACAAAGCTCACTTTTTTGCTGCACACAGGATTACGAGTTCTCCCTAGTTCCTGGATGAGCGCATACTTATATTCCATTTATCCTATCTTCTGAAAAGAAACAGGAACTCTGCTTTTGCTTTTTCATTTTGCTGGGAACTCCAATACTCTGGTTATATGTGCCTTGCCCAAGCACATGCATGTGTGGATCAGCCCACGGTACCAGATGCATTTGTGCTGCAGTCGCTATGTATGAGAAGAAAAGTAGAGAGTGCCATATAAATCTCCAAAAGGGTGTTTTCAAGGTTGTGAGTCTAAAAACTGATATACCTTGAGGGTGGCTGAAAGAAATCCATAAGGGTGTTTTATTATAAGACTGATCCTGATCCTCCTACTCATTGCTAGCACTTGGAAAAGAAATAAACGTGCAAACATGTAGTGTTCACTGATGGATACAGCAGGCAGACATCAGTTCAGCATCACTGCCTGTTTGCTACTTCTGTCACAGGGAACATGAATTGATTTGGCAACCATTGCATCACGGCCTGTGTTTACGGTTTCAAGTGTTGGACTGGTCCTCTTGAGAAAGAAATATACTGATAGCCCCTTACAAGCACTTGTTTGCAGACAAGAGGCTACCATGAGACACAGTTTCTACCCTAAAACTAAAAACTCTTTCAAAATTCGTGTTTCTTTGAGCTTTTTGTGATTACTAAGTTTTTTTACATGGATAATGCAATAAGATAATCTAAAATAAATTAAGGGTACTTTTGAATCTGAGCATAGTTTAATATTCCTCAAAATACAAACCAATAACCTTTATATTAGTTTTAAATCCCTGGACAAAATAATGAGTTGTTTAAAAATATGGCTAATCATGAATGCTTTCTTGCCAGAAGGAATTTGTTATGGAACCAGAAAACACCCCAGGTAGACAAATAAAGTAATTGAGTCTTTTTGGACTTACTAGATGAAAAGGCGTGATAATTTATATTTGTTTAAAAATTTCACTGAGAAGCTGAACTTACTAATCTGATGCCTATCATATAGTTAAAACAAACTCGACTCTTCATCGTTTGTGATGCAGAATATCTGCTGCTACTCGTCTGAGAATTCACACTAAATTAGAATCTGAGGGAATGTCTCGCTGCTCACAAGGAGAAAATGAATCTTGGTTTCTCCTTGCAAAGGAGCAGCTGTTCTGAAGACCAGCTGAATGAAGTAGCCTCTGAGCCTCTAAAGCTACTGGTTAGATTACCCTTCCTGGATGACTCTGCCTGTCTCAGCTGCCTTGCCCGGGCAGAAGCACTGCTGGCACCAGTGTGGTGATGTAGGATATGGCCTATGCAACACGTGTGTCTGGAGTTTGGGAATGGGTATGACTATGAGAAGCGAGAAACCCAGTGTTTATCAGTGGCATGCTTTCATGTGGTATTGATAAGTTTATGTCCATGGCTGTACTTTCATTAGCAGCTGGTCATCCTCTTCCCTGTTCACCAGGTCGCTTTCCTTTTTGTTTTGTGGAAAGAGTACAAATAAAATGTGCAGGACAGTCCTGGAAAGCCCGAGGAATTGTCTACAGGACTGAAGTAGAAGTGCAGCTTAATTGTAATCATTGTCCTCGGGTATGTCATTTTCTTTGGATAACTCATCATTTCTGTTTGCTTTGGAAGAGCTTTTGTGTCTAGATGTGTTGTGTTTTCTGTCAGGAAAATGAACCAAAAGGTGGCAAGCCCTGAACAGGGATCCATATGCTCTTAACACACATCCCACGTGTGTATCTTTGAGAATGTAGACATTTTTTAGGGGAAGAAATGTCATAGTAATGAACAAATTTAATCAAATGTGATACTGTAGGCCAGTATGGGCAGTAGTATGCCTGGTTCTGGAGAGCGAGTGGAAGGACTCATAGGCCGTGCAGACAAACGGAGTGGTGCAAGTTTGTTCTTTTGGCTTGTAGCATTCAGCGGGGCTTTCTTAGCACATGCAGTAATGCTAACACTGCACTGAATCAGCATGTGACAGGCTCCTGGCTCTGCCTGACCCCTGGGCTGTGGAATTGATTTGTTCTGAGGAGAGATAATATAGCACTTTGTTAAAAGCTATGGTAATGGCCTGTGTGCATTGCCTCAATGCCCTCATGCCTGTTTCATGCACAGGGGGTAAAATTCACTGGT